AAAAAATCTGTAAATCAGCTTTATAATTTAAATTAGCATTCGCCTCTTATTCATCATTTCTAATTTGGGTATTTCCTCTTTGTATTCTAAAAATAGTTATAACTTTTCTGGATTGTGCCATTACTAGATCAATCTATGACACATGGCTTGCGTAATGCTGATGATGCCGCTATCAGAACCTGTACTCAAAATTTCAAGAACTAAAACTTTTCTCTCAATAAACAATCTAAACCATAACCTTCTTTTGGTGAGACTCCATAATGGATAATTGAATACTTTTGCTTCTACCTCTCTTCCTGTTAAGACATTATTTCGCTCTGGTTTCTTCCTACCACAACAGTATCAAAAATGTAAATGTTCTTGAATAGGCATGATTAGAGGGCCAAGTAAATTGTGGCTAAAATTGTCAACTAAAATAAAGTTGAATATTTAATCTTACTTGGCTGTCAAGTTTCTTCTTCAATATGGATCTACATTCTACAGCATCAACATTGTTACATCTTTTTCATCACACACATATATATACATATCTCTGTGTGTCAGTATTATATAAAATAGAAAAGAAAATAAATAACTTAATTGGGAATAGAACTTTTAAGTTCTGATTTTAATTTAAATACACCCCCCTTCAAAACTTTGTACTGCAACATTTATGTCACCATTTTTATCTGCATTGCTGTGTGCTTTTTCAATCACTGTTCAGGATTGAAACAAAGAGACTGAGCTTAACTCCAGCTGTTTAATATGTATAACTTTTCCCATGCTGTCACTCTCTAAGCATGTAATTAGCCATTCTGGATCTTGATAGCATTGCAATCTGTGTATATAAAATGGGTGCATAATGCACCCATTGTGCTGTGCATATCAAGAAGCTAAGTGTGTTGCAACATAGTGAAGATGTCAAAATTTTTATAGTATGATGAGAGAACTGAGTAAAAAAGACATTTATTATTTATTTCAAACATGGCCAAGAGGTGATAGAAATGGCACACATATCGGTGCCATCTTAACAAGGTGGAATTTTGGAAGCACCATAAATAACTGTATAATCACAACATAATTTCATTTCTTGCTGATTACTCTACTATGACATAGCTTCTTGCGTGGCACAGCACAATGGGTGCAATCTGCATCCGTAATATATATACAGATGACACTGTCATGAAGTGACAGCAGGGGGGAAATGCTGCATATTAAGCAGCTGGAGTAATTTGTAAGCTTAGCTTCTTTATTTCAACAATTTGGCAAAAGCTTACAGCAACAAGGATAAAAGTGATGATGCAAATAGTGCAGTACAAATTTCTGAAGGGGGTGTATTTAAATTAAAAGGTCTATTATCAATTAAGTTAGTTGTTTTCTTTCACATTTTCTATCATATATATATATATATATATGTTTATGTGTGTGTATATAGATGTTAAAAAAAAATTGATTACAAGCTCTGTTTCCCTAAATATTGAGAAAAATTTTTAACATTAAAGCAAATAATTTTAACACTAGAACCATGGAGCAGGTCAGTTTGACCCATACCGATGTTTAATTTGTCACCAAGTGAAACATATTGATTGAAAAACAAATTCTTTTCATGACTTTTAATAATTAAGGGTAAATATTAACTTACCGAATTTGAAACTACGTAACCTAAATAAATTTTTGATTATTAAGACTTGTACCTAGAACCACAAAGTGGGTCATTTTGACCGTAAGAAATATTTATGCCTAAATGACGAAAAGCAGATGCATTTTCTCAGAAGTATATGTAAAGTATATCTGCTTCACCCTCTAATTCCTAAAATGGACTGCACCAGGAAAGGGAGTAGTGTAGTTTTCAGTCAAGATTCGAAATGCGAACTGCATCTGAATGCAGTGGAAAATTACAACGAATATTTCTAAAGACTTTTTGAAGTTGCTTTTATTCTATATTTAGTATAAGGATATATAAGATGTCCTTGTTGTTCAACACTCTTCAGGAAGTTCTGGAATATTTACAACAATTACTTGAAAATGATTCAGAAGATGATGATAATGATGACAGTGTTTTGATTTGAGAAGTGAGGATCAACACCTGCTTGCTAATGAAGAAATAAAAGTGATGATGACTCTGGCAGTGCCCTAACAATCACTGTGCTTTCTCATCGGAATAATAATGATAATTTATCAGATAAAAAAAGAAAAGAAAATTCTAAGAAAAGACGCATATATGCAAGGAAATCGAAAAAGAAATCAGCAGTAACATTCAAAGTTGGAAATAATGAAGTTGGCAAAGATGGACAGTTTGAAATGTCGTACAATTAGAAACAAATTATAATAGCAGAAAAATAAAATATTTTGAAGGAAGTTCGGGGCCTAATATCTTATGGTAAATGGAATATTATACACAACAGTCCATCAAGTGCTTGGAGACATTTCATAAATAAAGGGATATTGAAGCATATAAAAAAATACACTGAAGATGAAGATTATCGACAGATTCATGAAAATGAATGGAATATAATAGTAGAAGAAATGGATACTTTTATAGGAATTTGATATGCACATGGTATATATTGTGCAAAAGGACTTGAACTGGAATTTGAATAAACTTGGAATCAAGTTCTGGTTAGCTGAAGATGTTGAAATATCTAATAAATGGATTCCCATATTTTGGGAAAGATAACCAAAGTCCAACCAACATTTCTCTTGCTGAACATACAGTACTGCGACTATTAAGTCCATATGAAAACAAAGGCAGAAATGTCACTGCAGATAACTTTTTCACAACACTGAAGCAGAGGCATTGGCATCCAAAAACATCAGCCTTGTAGGAACTGTAAAATGTTGAAGAAAAGAAACACTAGTCTCTGTAAAAATGTCAAAATCCACATTGCATATGACTACGGTACTAACATATAAAGACATCAATCTGTTCATAAAGGGAAAAACAATAAAAACATTTTGTTGCTAAGTAATCTTCATCCAACTGTAGAAAATATAGATAGTCCCCAAAAATTACCTGATAACAATTGCTTGCTACAACGCAACGAAATTCGATGTGAACGCGATTGACCAAATTGTCAATAAAGTATATTCACAAAATTGAATTATATTAAATGGCAAAATTGAATCATATTAAATGAATTGAAATTATATTAAATGGCAATAAAGTATATTGTCAAGTCTGCTTCACGTAGGTGGCCAATGCAAGTTTCTTATTATATTTTGAAACTTGTTGCTATCAATGCCTGGGTTTTATACAAAGCTGTATCTGGAATATCTATTAGTAGATGGCAATTCATTCAAGACTTAGTTGAAGAACTGAGATAAAAGTTTGTTCCCTCCTGACAAAAAAAGGCGGCATATGGTTGTATAGCAAACCATTAAAAATGACGGAAAACCAAAAGTTAGGCATAAACCAGTCCGATGCCACAGTTCAAAATGTGAAAATAAAACGTAAGATATTTGTTCAAAAGGAAAAGCACCCATTTATGATAAATGTACAAAACTTATTACAAAATTTTGTGCATAATGCATACAATAAATTGGATTTTTAAAAATCTGTAAAACTAATATGTAACTAATAAACTAACATAACTAATAAAATTTTTACTTTTTCTCTAAAATTATGTCTAAACATATTTAAATGATATACTCTGTTTTTCCATCAAAATTAGAAAAATTTTGTTTTATTTTGTTTAAAAGACATGTACATAATAATGATATACATAATACGATTTTCTAAAAATCATATGCATATGTGCATTTGTATATCATTATTATGTATATGTGGACATATACAAAATATGATTTTCTAAAAATTTAGGTAATTTCTGTTCATTTATATAAAATATGTAACGTAAAGTTTAAAAAATATTGATTATTACATAAAAATAAAATGTTCGAGTTAACTAAAGTAATCACTTGTGCATATTTTAGGTGTTTTCCATCTAGGGTCAAATTGACTTGCACCGCGGTTGTAGGTATATCGAAGGTACCGCAGTTCTAGTGTTAAAAAAATATGAAGAGGATACTGAGGAATGAAAATTCTAAGGAATTTCAACTACCTCTCTTCAGGTGAAAATTTTAAAAGATTTTCAAGGATAAAACTATTAATTTAGATTATTTTTCAATGCCTTTTACTCAAAAATTTTAAAAAGATTTTAACCAGACTTAGAAAGCCTCTAAACAAAAGCAGCTTATTTTGAAGATAAAGTGTTTCAATACAAAAGAACAGACCCAATGAACTTAATGCTAAAGGAACCATAAATCAGCAACAGGAATTGTATAATGTGAATAGATTTAAGATACTCATGCTACATACAGAAAGTTTCTGATTGATCTTAAAAACTCATCCGAATGATATTAAAAACTCTGATCTTTCAGTTTGATCTTAAAAACTGTAATATTGCAAAATTACTTTAATTTGTTACATCAACTCCTGTTGCTCATTTTTCTTTAACATTTAATAAATGGTATTGCACCAGGTAAAATAGCAGTCACCAACTTCTCTAGCTGGCTCACTAAAAGAACTTACTGATTAACCTTAAATTCTACATGTGAATCTATTAAATGTTTTTATACTTAACATATTAAAGCAATTAGATTCTTAATTAATTCAGTTTTTGCTATATAGAGAATATATAAAAAGTTTCCTGTACTTATTGAACCATGATATTCTTACTGCTGAAACTGTTTTTTCCTTAAAATTCTTCTCCTTATGTTGAAAACTTTGTGATTGGAATACACATCTAGAATGAATCTAATATTAATTTATTTATAAAGCAAGTACAAGTAAGTATAAATCAAGTACATTAAACTTATTCAAACACATAACAGTAGATTAAGTTTCTAGCTTTCTCAAGTCCTTTTATTTTTGAAGAGCTGGTTTTATGAATAAAAAGAAAAAGAGAAAAACCTATGCTTTCTTTTTTTGCGAGCCCTATGATAGCATTTCTAAACTATTATTTAAATCAAATATATTCATAAACACAGCAAATATTTAATAAATGTTTTAAAATGCATACCGTCTCTAATAACAACTTTAAATGCACGAATCTTTCCATCTTTGCATTTACTGAAAAATGATTTCAGTTCACTTCCAGCTGAAAAAATCATAATAGTTACATTATAACTGTGAAAAAATATCAATGAAAGACTATACATTTACATCTTACAAAAAAAGTATAATAAAAAAACACTCTGATCTGAATTTCTTCACGCATTCTGATGAGTTTCATGTAACTAGCATATCTAAAATACTTCAAAAAAATATATACTCATTTAATGACTTTTGATGGTTTCAACATATCTGAACTTCGAATAAGATGAAAATGTCACACATACATTAGGTGAAATGTTACACTTACATCACACAAAAATGTCATTCAATGAAATAGTCACACATACATTTAGCACAGTATTTTAATACAATAATGAAAATAAATAACATAACTCTACATTGCATTCTATCAGAACACAAATTCTGTATAACATAAACAGTCTCAACAATTTCACTAATCACCTTTAAAATACTTTAAAGCAAGAACTCACAGTTCACAATAGAAAAGCCACTACTAAAATGCACTAATTAAAAGAATTCTCTAGCTCTACTTCAAAACGTGATTCCAAACAGAAGCTCAAACACAGGTTTATAGTATACTGTCAAAGCAAATTAATATTATATTCGCCAAATCAATATCGAAATATATAAGTATCATAGTTTTACCCAATAAAGTCATTATTATAACTATAATCATCATTATTTGTCAACAAAAATCTTAAATCTGCCAACAAACCAAGACGTTAAAATTTGAAGATGTGTATGATTTGATACATATCTATAAAAGATACCTTAGAGTAAAAGATGTTCGGAAGAACTGGATTATTCTTTACATTGTTAGCCATACTTTTACGTTTTAAACAATACAATATCATAAGGGTGAATTCATCAAAAAGTGCAGAGCTGCGGCGGATGCGATGACACTGCTTCGGTAAAAATGAAAGGAAAAGCAAAATATTAAAAAAAAAAAAATATATATATATATATATTTAACACTTACGTGAAAGGCCATATATTATTTAGAAGGGAGAACTTTTGGATACCCTGCAGGTGTAAAATCTCTCAGCATAGATCTAATATGAAGTACTAGTCACAAAACACTTTACTCATTCAGCGGTACAAACAGAAACCAGAAACCGAAATTAGCTTAATTAGCATATGCTAAATTAGCTTCCAGTCGCATACTATACCAAATTCTTTCTTCAAAAAATCTTACTCTGTGTAATGAAAAATACTTTTGAATTAAATGACTATTATCATAGCAGATACATAACAATAATTAAAAAGCAATTTCAAACTCTGATCGGTGAAATTGTTCAAAAAATTATCCAAATATGAAGGATATGGAAAACAAATGAGTTTATCAATCAAGTTTAATTTTTACATTAATATCAAGGAACAAATAAACTACCCTGAAAAGTACTTAAAACTCAAAAGAAATTTTACCTTGTATTCCCGTTTGATGCGACATCCCGTCAATACCCTTCAAGCAAAACAAATCGTACACCACCTCCCCTCTTAGTTTCGGATAATTGTTGCCAAAAATTAAACTGAAACACTCAGAATAAATTAATAATTTTACAACAATAAATTAAAATTAATGATAAGATTAATCATTTTTCGATTAAATCAAGTATAAAATGATGTGCATTACGATAAATCTGATCATATGAACACGTATTCGAAAACATTAGCGCAGCCACCGTTGCATTACAGTATAAATTTCTTATTTGAGAAAACGAAAGCCCTGCTTTCGGATGCTTCAAATGACGATCTTCGACGATGGAGATCATCCCTCATTCCACGAGTCCACCGATATCAGGAGCCATTTGTTCTCATATATCACTAGGACTTCCAGGTGAAGAAAATAAGAAAATGCCCAAAGTTGAAAGGTTCAGAGGCCTATGGTAGTTAAACTTCCTGTAAAAACAAGTAAAAGATGAGCCCAAGTAAATATCTAACGTAAATCAGTAGAAAATACGTTCTTCACTTGTAGGCTCGAACCCGCTCCCAAGAAGCTGCGAAAAAACGCCCTGTACTACTACAGTGAGTTACACCTCGCATCAGCCGGCAACGACAAAAGCGAAATAGCCCTTTTAGATGTTTGAAAATCGGATAGACTAATTGGTCGATGCGATTGCGAAAAAGACTCGAGGGCTTTCTGTTTAAGGGTAGTGATGCCTTCAGGAAGGACTTCGGAAAGTAAACTGGCTCGTATACACGTTACACATGAGGAAAACCACGAAACCGCTCATGGACCCAGCCCATTCGCGGGATTTGCACCTCAGACCGAACTACCAGTGTTCAGGACTTTACCGCTTGGCAGCTGGTGGGTCAGCCAGGAAACAGAGTGGACTTTTGAAATCGCTTTAATACTACACGCTACTTTAATTACGCTATATACACGCTACTTTACTTAAAAGAGGAATTGTCAAAACTGTAAAGCAATTTACAAAGAAACATGATAAGGAAATTATTGAATTCCCTCCGATCAATGAAGAAAGGCTCCAGCAAATGAAAAGGATGTCTCTAATACTCTGGAATAGCTAAAAGCAGCAATAATAAAGGCCAATATGTCCTTTGATGGGTTTAAAAAATCAACATCTCTTCTCGAAATACAAACACGTCTTAATCCCGTTTTTCCCCATAAATTTTCCTTTTCTCGCTAGCTCCTACGCCTCATCTTTAAAGGAACCAAGTTGGCGCAATCAAGGCTGTTCTCCGAAGAATATCCGAAACTTTTTTTTATATTTTAGTTATAATATTAGGAATAATCATTACACAAATACTATTACTTGTGTGCTGTCAACATCATATGCTTCAGTGCCAATGACACCAAGATACAAGAGCAGCCTCTATATTCACAAGCATAATATTAGCATAATAATGGTGAGTGAGACCCATCTATGTCACTGTAACAAACTTACGCTTCATGACTTTAAAATTTACAGAAATGACCGTGTGTCTGATCGCAGTTCTAATTATAAATTTTTTTAATTTCTCCACATAATTTTTATGACAGCATTTGCTTTGAAGCTATAGCTGAACTTCTGCTACCTCAAATCAGGATTTTAATACTCATGGAAACTAAATACTAAAATAATAGCAATAAATCCTAAAAAAAAAAAAAAATAGAAACTAAATCCTAAAATAAAAACTGAATGTTAAAAGACTCACTTAATGCTAAAAAACAAACCAGATCAATAAAAAATTGGGCAACTATGCCATATATAATGGATTGAACATTACTGGACCTATTCGTAAGTATAAATACATGGGTATACGCAATGTACTGGACTTCGTTACTACTAAACTGATAAGAAAATATCCTTTCCTTGGCATAACCTATAAACTATCGTTTGATCACTTACGAATAAAACTCACTTTCTACATTTTTAAAAAATCTAACGAAACTCCAAACAAGATCATGATATGGTATTCTTTTAAGAATAACCCTAAGAAGATTAATGCCAACCCTCGAATATGAAACATAGAAGACAACGAAAATATTATCTATATAATTAGCTCTTTAATAATTTTAGTCTTTTCATGTTCTTACCAATGAAATTATCGACATTTCTTCACATTTTCTATGTTTATTCCACATACATAAGTACACACTAAAATCACCAATCACAATAACTACAGTACAAATAATAAATATATACGCATTAATTATCTTAATACAGGGGTAGTTTCGTTTTCACATAGCGGCTCCCATAAACGTTCCTCTTTCCTGACCCCTCTCTACTTCTTCCTGTCAGAAACTAAACTTTTAGCGCCACTCAGTGACAGCTGACCTTCTATGGATATCGTTAACTAGTGTCACAAACACATCACAAGGTCAGACATCAGATATTTTTATAGGCGTTGGAGGGATTATCTAAATGGCGATGACAACGCACATAATCGCAGGATTTGGGCCACATAAATCCCTCATATTATCTACCCGGTTCCATTGCATTCTCCTAACGTCACCGCTTGGAGTGGTGTGATAGCTAGTTTCATAATTGATCTTTCTTTTTTTTTTTTTTTTGGTTGATCTTTACAATATGGTAACTGGTAGTTTGGCGACATTTTGGAGGCGATAAAGGTTACTACCTGGGACTTTGGTAATAATGTGAGCAGTACTCAGTTCCGATTACGCATTATTTTGCGTGAGGGAAATGAGAGATCATGGGATATGTCATGTGATATTAATGGACGAATTACGGTTCTTTAATCGGAAAAGGGGGGGGAAATCGGGAAAAAATGTGGAAATTTTGTATTTAGCTTTATTCTGTGTTGTGTGAAACAGTGTTGTTTAATTTTTGGATCCCATGGCCCTAACTAAAGTGAATTCGAAATGGGTATTTAGGCATTGTGATAAAGAGAAGTTTGCTTTTTTTATTAGCGGAGGAAGTATGGAGGAATAATTCGCAGAAAAAATCTTTCATAATTTTATTGAATGAATTAGAAAAGTGTATCCGCCTGTAATCAAGATTCTGAAGAAGATTAAGTAAGTTAGTATTTTTAATTATTTGAGGATATTATTTTTATGCATTGTTCTAAATGTAAGGTGGAAAGGAATTTGGGTATTATTGGGAAAATTGTTTTTAGCAATGATTTTAGTTTAAAGTAATAAGGATTGTAAGGTAGTTTTTATTAATTTAATGTATGTGCTCATTATATTTTAAGTAGTGTTTTTGAATTTATTATATTTTAATTAAATGATAGTTATTTTGTGAATTTTATGTTTGTAGGAATTTGGTATACGTTTAAGTTGAAATAAAACGTGCATGGAAATAATTTAAATATTTGATACTAAGTATTTGTAATGCTTGCGGTATAATTCGTTGGTGACGTGTATAATGTAATAGGTATTTAGAGGTAAAAGTTTTTGGATAATTTATTTATTTTATATGTGGAAATGTTCATATTTGTAAAGGGTAAATACTTTTTCGCGATCAGGTAATTTCATATATGTTCTTTTTACCGGGTTTAAATATTGAGAAAATTGTCATGTATTTTCGTGAAATTTTCTAATTTATGAGAAAAAAGCAGTGTACATGGATATAGTGAAGAGTGGCGCAATGCCATTTTTGTGCAATTCTGGGATGTTTTTTTAAGTAAAAATAAGTCGGCGTGTACATGGTTTATGTGTATGTGTTATTTTGAAAAACGCGTAAGGAGTATGGTATTGTGCACTTTTTTCCAATTTTGCAGTGAATATTTGTCATGATTAAGCAGTTTTGTTTGATAAAATTTCTAGCATAAGTGTAATTCGGCTAGTAGATTGTTGGAAGAAGTGTTCAGTAGATAAGAAGAAAAGAAACATGTCTTTACTTCGTGAAGACAAAATGGCGGCGGGGAAAAAAAAAAAAAGGGGTTGCTGTAGGAGAGTTGGTTGCCAAATTTTCGCCAAAAAATCGCCAAGTTACCATAATGTAAAGATCAACCTTTTTTTTTTTTTCAGAGCATTCGACAGCTTGCTCTGTTACGGCTCGCTTAGCGTCAGTGTTATGACGTTTTGGGATACCTGACCGTGGCATTTTAGACACCCCGATTTCTATGTTGGACGGAACCCCACCTACATAGTCTACATAGTCTTTAACCTGTTTTCTATCTAAAGTTGAATTTTTGCCCAGCGGGTAAAAAGACTGAGAATATTCAAAATAAAACATGTCTCTTGTTTATCTGTTTGATTCCAGATTACTTCCTGCATTTACCGTCGTCTCTGATGCTGTTGACAATTACAGATTTCAATGGTCTGTTTATGATAGGAAGCTCTCCGCGGCATGGTTGAAATGTTTACCTGGCTAGTGTTTACAATTATGCATACTACTCTGTAGAATCAAAAAGTGCTTATAATCACGGCGCTAAACTGCAAAAAGTTTTCTTAACATAAAACCTAAAGATCAGCCTTAAGCCATATAGAAACTATTCAGACATTATTTAGAAGTACGTAGTGAATTCAGAGATGGAGACTGATGAGTATGCAATAAACAAAGTAAGGTATTTTGATTATCCACTTATATGATAAAGTAAAATGTGACAGCTGAAATTAAATGGTAATTAACCTAGGACACCAATGTGCCTGTATATATTAAATTTAAGTTAAAAATATAAATTTTAAAATGTAAAACAAAGTCATGTTTGACGCGATCACGTTATAAAAATTATAAATAGCAGTATAAATCGAAAGCATTCGCCATTGAATTCTTTATAGTTGTCTCAGTTTCGCCCTTTGCCGATCACATTTAATTATTTGAAACATTATTATATCCTTTATGAGTTTAAAGTGACATCCCTTCTCTACTTATGATTAAAGAGTAGTATTCCCCCATTTCTGATTTTTTTCATGCTAGTTATTGCTACTTCATATGTTTTAATATCTATATCTCATTCTTATTCTCTAATCCATTATTCATTTATATTATTTTGCATCAAACTGCTTACGTACATTCCCCCTTCTGTCATAGATTGGCAAAGGCTACAATTTATTATCGAACTACGTTGTTGGAAATTGCTCGTGAACATTATAGGGAAACGATGAAATAATTTTTACAGCTACTACCTACTATTATACTGGTGAATTAAGTCTATTT